GAGGGTCAGAGGGAGAAGCAGACCCCCCACTGAGCAGGGAGCCCGATGCGGGACTCGATCCCGGGACTCCAGGATCATGACCTGAGCCAAAGGCAGTCGCTCAACCAACTGAGCCACCCAGGCGCCCACTCCATGGCTTTTTCAAAGGGATGACACTGCAACCTTTAATCAGCCAACCTCTCCTCTTACACTGCTAACGTGAAGAATATTCCATTAAATTTAAAACATTGCAGCGTTTAAACCACTGTGCTCTATAGGAAACAATGAAATAGTACCCACTTTGTGAAACATTAATAATTATGTTTGAAGACACATGCTTGTTAAACTTTGAATCTTCAATCATTTAAGGGATTTTTAAAAATTAGCTATAATAGCTAGAAAAAAAATAAAAGGACTAACTTTGGAAGGGAAATTAACAGTCTATGAGTGAGTCTGCACCCTGAGCTGGGAGCAGCTCCCTTTGTGGAGTGCCCGCTGCCCAGTCGGCTTGCGCTCCCGCCCACAGCTGCACTGAATGGGTGTCAAGGGCAGAGTTTTTAAAGCTTTAAGCGAAGTAAAAAATAAAAATGATCCAACGACTGCAGGCCTCAAACTGCTTGGGGGACTCTGTTACCATCTTCTGGGAGGACCGTTTGGCAACGTCCTTGCCAATTTAGGAGGAGCATGCATCTCTCCCAGTTTAAAAAGAAATGGGTTTGACTGCAACCCATGGAGAGGGATTGATCCTTCAGAGAAACCTGCAACCACAAAACCAGCTGTGCAAGGATGCTTAGTGCAGTGCTGTTGGTAATAGTGAAAAACCAGAAATCACCTAAATGCCCTTGATGGGGAAGAGCGGAAGACAGAGTAAAGCCACACCTAGACTATCCCATAGAAACCACACGAGAGGAAGATACCTCTACATAAACCAGTATGGAATGAGGTCCCCAGAACACTGAGAACCAAAGCAAGTCAGAGAACAGTGTATGTTATGGGTTGAACTCTGTCCCCCTCAAAAGATGTAGTCCTGCCCCCGATACTTGTAAATGTGACCTTATTTGGAAATAGGCTCTTTGCAGATGGTCAGGTTAAAATGAGCTCATTAGGGTGGGCCCCAATCCAACATGACTGATGTCCTTACAAAAAGGAAATCTGGACACAGACAGGGTGGGGATGAAGACAGAGCAGGGTGACGAGTCTACAGCAGAGGGACACCAGAGACTGCCCGCGCCACCAAAGCTGGGACAGAGGACGGAGCAGACTCGCCCTCCCCCCACTCAGAGAAAACCAACCCTGCCCACACCGGGACCTCGGGTTTCTGACCTCCAGAACCGTGAGACAATAACGTCCTCTTATTTAAGTCAGTCAGTGGTACTTCGTTACTGCAGCCCAAGTAAATGAATATCTCACTTTTGTGTTTATTTTTATTTTTTAAATTTTATTTATTTATTTGAGAGAGAGGGTGAGAGAGAGAGCGCGCGAGCAAGCATGAGCAGGGTGAGGGGCAGAGGGAGAAGCAGGCTCCCTGTGGAGCAGGGAGCCCGATGCGGGACTTGATCCCAGGACTCTGGGATCATGACCTGAGCCGAAGGCAGATGATCAACGGACAGAGCCACCCAGGCGCCCTCACTTATGTGTTTAAAAAGACACCAACATCACACAAATACACACACATAACAAGGTCTGGACAGTGAGCTGAATCGAACCAGTAACTGTTGGAGGAAGTGGCGGGGGTGCGCAAAGGGAAGCGGGGTGGTCAGCTTCCACGCTAAAAGCTCTTGGGAAGTGTTTGAGGATTTTAGCAGCATATTTTAGATATTACCTTTATATCCTCTGATCTTTACTCCTACCCTAACCAACCCTAATTACTTCCCGCTCCCAGGAAGGTATAAGCCCAGCCCAGAGAACCCCGTCAGCTCCCCGGGGGCATACCGTGCTTCCACTTGCGGGCTCCATGTCCAGGTAGGAAGGTGGCATCTGGACCTTGCTGAGCACTTTGAAACATGTCTTCAAGGCATGCGTCAGCTCGGGTAAGCTTAACACCTCCATCTCCTCAGCCAAAGGCTGCACCAGACAGCCCAGCACCTGAGGGAGGTATTGGGTTTGCACTTCGGAGTAAAGTTCCTGTGGAAAACGGACATGAGTTAACTAACATGTTTCCAATTTCTGGTCAGAAAAAAAAAAAAAAGGACCTCAAAATGGCGCCTTAAAAAAGTCAATTTTTTAAAAGATTTTATTTATTTATGAGATATGAGAGAGAGAGCGAGAACAAGCGGGGGAGGAGCAGAGGGACAAGGAGACACCCTGCTGAGCAGGGAGCCCAATGTGGGGCTCGATCCCAGGACCCTGAGATCATGACCTGAGCCAAAGTCAGACACTCAACGGACTGAGCCACCCAAGTGCCCTGAAGTCAATTTTTTTAGAGCATGAATAAGTTTCATGTTCATTCCCAAATCAGGGAACAAAATACTTCTTTTTAATCTAGACAAATCAATGGACATTCTTCTTCTCTTTTCAAGTGTCTTTACCTTTTTTATGTTTTTTTTTAAAGATTTATTTATTTGAGAGAGAGAGAGAGAGCGTATGTGCATGCAAGAGTGCATGAGCAGAGGAAGGGCAGGGGGAGAGAGAGAATCTTAAACAGGCTCCACACTCAGCACAGAGCCCCATGTGAGGCTTGATCTCAGGGCCCTGAGAGCATGACCTGAGCTGAAATCAAGAGTCAGGAGCTCAACCGACTGAGCCACCCAGGTGTCCCTCAAGTGTCTTTACTTTTCTTAATAGAAGATCATTGCCACATTTATTTCTATATTAAGGAAACTAGTTTCCTTTGACAAAATTAGCCAACAGCACAGTTTTACCTAGAAATACATTTACTCTCACTCCTGAACAACTGAAGTGCAGGGTGATGCTATCCACCTCTGGTTGACATAACTTTGGCTCAGGCCAGTTACAACTGGCTTAAAGTTTTATAACCTCTTTTAAATAAGACATAAAAGACATAAGAGATTACATTCAGCTACATCTTTCATGCCAAAACATTGAAAGTGTTGTGTATTTATGCACATGCACTTTTCAGGAAGGTGAGGATTATCAGGCCAAGGACACAAACCAGAACATAAACAAGCACGCATGGAGCCGCCTCTTCCCGGCAAGGGGCCTTACCAAGGGGATAACATCCAGAAGGAACACCAGGAGGGTGCAGAGCTCTGACACCGTCGGGGGAGGGCTGATGCTCTTCCCAACAGTGTAACTCCGCTTCGCTGGTCTACATAAGTCACAGGAAAGAAAATCAAATCAATTCTTTCTCCTGTAATAGCTTCAAGCATTTCTTACGATGTCCAGTCAAGTTACTCTATTTCAAACATAATGAAAGGCAGCTCTGTCATTCTAATAAGTAAGCTTTAGTGACTAAAACTATCGGACACAGAGAACTGTCAGTCTGTGTCTTGAATTTGCTTGTCTCCAAAACAGGTTCACTCAGACTTGAACTTCATCAGTTCAGATGAGGGCGGACCCATGCCCAGGTGGGATGCCACACCCAGCAGATCTGGAGCTCCATCGACAGGAGCAAGTGCTAGGTACCCCACCCAAACCAATGGCATGTTCCAAGGGAAGCTGCCTGGCTAGAGAAGACAGGGGCTGAACAGTGGTCCCCCCTGCTGTGGGAGCAACCTGTGGGAGCTCATCCACACGAGCTGCTTAGCTTCTCCGGCTTCCACAGAGAAGCGAAACTTCACCAGTCAGCTCTATTGGGAGCTGCTCATACTAAAACGTAACAGTTCTTTTTAAATAAGCAGGCAACTGGTTAAATAGGTGAGTTAAAAAACATATACATGTTTGTTTTCAAAACAGAGTAACTTTGGATTCATCTCCAATCACAGGACAACTCAACCTGAGTTAATTGTCTTCACTGCAAATTAGCACTTAGTTATCTTGGGAGTCTGAGCAAGAGAAGGCCTCTCTTGAACTGTGTACACTAACCCAGCAACCGTTCTCCCAGTCTGCTCTAAGGGAACCCCGCATAGGCCTGTGAAGAGACAGGACAAAGTACTATTGCAACAACGAAAAAATGGAAGCTGGTGTTTCAGCTGGATGTACAGACAGATCTCCAGAGGACTGTTAGCCAACCCCCAAAACAGCAGACCGCAGAAAGTCATATAAAACTTGACAGCCTTGTGTAGAACTTGAACAGACACACCAGACTATGTCATCTCTGGAAACACAGGTTATAAAAGCACAGACAACATCACGGGCAGGACAGTATGAAAGGAGAAGGTGCTGCAAGGTGGGAGTTAGTTCTATCTGGGTAGCAACATTTAATTCCTTTAAAAAAAATCTGAAAAACAATGGCCAAGTGTATAGTTTCAGTAATAAGTGCATGTGTGTCTGGCATTATTTCTTGTTCTTTCTTACATTTGAAATGTTTCGTAGTTTATTTATTTTTTTTTTAAAAAGGAAAGCACACCTTGTAACTCTGAAATGGAAATAGGCTGACCAAAATATGCTCTAGCTTCAGTATAACATGGCCTTGCTGCCACCCATGGGTCCAGCTATAGTTAACGGATTCATCACAGATTTGAATGCCCACCGGGACCTGGCTCTAGAGGACACAGGGGAGCACGGTGGGAGCGGTTGGGAGGTCAGGCATTCCTGGGTTCCCGTCTCGGCTGGCCGCCACTAATTTCCTGGGCAATGCCACACGAGGGACCTCCTGTCGCTGGGCTCCGGCTTTCTTTTTTTAAAGATTTTATTTATTTATTTGACAGAGAGAGACACAGTGAGAGAGGGAACACAAGCAGGGAGAGTGGGAGAGGGAGAAGCAGGCTCCCCACCGAGCAGGGAGCCCAATGCGGGGCTCCATCCCAGGACCCTGGGATCATGACCTGAGCCAAAGGCAGATGCTTAACGACTGAGCCACCCAGGCGCCCCTGGGCTCCGGCTTTCTTATGTGATCCAAGTGCCTACTTCTCTTTGGGGTGTCCGGAGGAGCTAATCAGTATGCCAGAGGAGAGCCCACAGCAAACAGTAAGTAAAGCTTCTACTGAGTTGCTAGGTAGGGGAAGAACAGTGACAGCAAGGAAGTCTGACCGTGTGACTTAGGACAAGACAGGGTCTGAGAGATTACACTATCCCTCTCGCTATGGGGAGAGGGGCCTGGGAGAGGCTTGCAGGGAAGCACTCGGCTCCCCAGAGGGGCCACCGTCCATGACGGCGAGGTGGTGCAAGTCACTGACCAGATGAACGGTGACATAAAGCTGATCAGGGCAGCTTAAGACATTAATGCTTTTATCTGACCAGTGATACAAAAATTTCAGTAAGAATTTAAGAAGACTGATGATTTTAAAACCACTCACTCTAGTCACAGAACTATAGAACTCAGCCCCTTTAAACAGATGAGCCTCCAGGAGCGCTGTGTGAAGGAGATATATTTGGTCACTGTAACTAGAAAATGCAGAGGGTTTTCTCTAGTTAGAATTAATAAATAAAAAAGCTCCAGAATTATGCGGCAGAGATTACCTGAACTTTCTTAATGGCAATGTTTTTATTCTACTACAATTTAAAGGGAATTCTTTTCCATCGTGTGCTCAGCAGAGACCATCCAACATGAGCCACAGTAAGCAGCTATGAAAGCACGAAAGCTTCCACTCCTTCCTAAACATTCCGTAATCCCGAACTGGACACTTACCTAAAGCAGTCCTCAAAACACCTGGTCATATAGTCCCAGAGAAAGTCTGTGCTGAGGGAAGTGATCAGCAAATTCACCGTTTTAACAATCTCAGAGGCATTTCTGTTTTCTTTTATTGAACTGTAAAGGAAAGTGGATGCTCATGAATAGATGTATGAGAAACCCTCTATCATAAGAACACGTATCTGAAAAACTGTAATTCGTTTATTTATTTCTAGAGAGATGGACAAATCCCAACAAAGATAAAAATGTTACTGGTCTGATATAGGAAAGAGTTTGCATAACGCCATCCTTAACAGTATTTGTATTGATACGTCCTCTAAGAAATAAGTGTAAGAGCTAATGTGAAAAGAATCTGGTATAGAATACCAGTTTTAGTCCAACTGTGAGTCCTTAGATACCCTGTTGGTGAAATAACATGGTACACCCATTTGGGCATGAAATTTGGCTAAAATTTAAATGTGTGTCTTCTATGACTCAGGAAATTTATTCATACCCATTTGGGCATGAAATTTATTCTAGGGATTTCTCCTACAGAAGTCCTTGTACAGGCACACAAGGATGTATGCATGAGGATACCACTGCAACGTCATTTAAAAATACTGAAAAAGTAGAAGCCACCTGACAGCCAATCAACAGGGGATTGGTCAGTCAGGATTTATTTAAGTAAGTGATAAATCCTTACTGAGGAACCTAAGGCAACGTTATGTTCCAGTGCAGAAGACAGGAGAGCTACTCACAACTTGCATTTAAAAAAACCAGGCAACTAAATAGCTAATGTAATTCCATCTTTATATATTATTTATTTATTTGACAGAGAGAGACACAGCGAGAGAGGGAACACAAGCAGGGGGAGCGGTAGAGGGAGAAGCAGGCCTCCCACAGAGCGGGGAGGCTGATGCGGGGCTCGATCCCAGGACCCTGGGACCACGACCTGAGCCGAAGGCAGACGCTGAACACACTCAGCCACCCAGTCGCCCCTAAATACTATCTTTTAAAGATTTATTTATTCATTTGAGAGACAGCACGTGCGTGTGCGCGAGTTGGGGGAGGGGCAGAGGAAGAGACTTTCAAGCAGACTCCCCACTGACTCTGGAGCCCAACACGGGGCTTGATCCCATGACCCTGAGATCATGACCTGAGCCGAAATCAAGAGCTGGACACTTAACTGACTCAGCCACCTAGACTCCCCTGTAATTCCATCTTTAAAAAAAAATATATTTTTTGTATGCATTCAAAGTCTGGAAAGAAATGAAAATGTTTTATGTTTTTCTCTCAAGGGAGGTGGGATTGTGGGTGATATCTTTTTTCTTGATACCTTCAAATATCAGTATATTCTACAAAGAGCATGTATTACTTTTGTATTCAGAAAAGTAGTAATTCTGGGAGAAAGAACAAACATTCTGGGAGAAAAAAGCACACATTCAGAACTCTTGGTACATTTATAATTAAGAAGCCAGAGAAATCTTCAAATAGATTTGTATTTTCAATATACCCAATGCCAATTCGGGCAGAAGGAAATTACATCAAGAATAAAGTAAAAAGGAAGAGACTATTATCTTAACAGGAACAAAAGCAAGGGGTGCCTGGGTGGCTCAGTCAGTTAAGCGTCTGCCTTCGGCTCAGGTCATGATCCCGGGGTCCTGGGATCGAGCCCCGTGTGGGATTCCCTGCTCCACAGGGAGCCTGCTTCTCCCTCAACTCTTCCTCCCCACCCCACCACCAATCTCTCTAATAAATAAAATCTGAAAAAAAATAACAAGAACAAAACCCAGGGTTGAGAGATAACTACATGCTCCAAGGCAACATGTCTGCTGTGTCCTGAACCCCACCTGCTCTGCCTTTGGGGTCCTGCAGCACATGTCCTTGGGGTGCCCCTGGCGGGCTCTCCCCTCTGCCGCTGGACCCTGGCTCCACGTCCTGACCTGCCCCCTGCCCCCACCGTCCTCCCTGTAAGTCACCCCATGGGCACACCAGATCCAGTTGCCCTTCAATGGCTTTCACACCTGCTCAGTAAACATGGTTTGTACAGCCCGGGCTGGGCAGAGACCAGCTCAAATGCCTTTGAAACTCTTCACAGTCTGCAACAGGAAACAGGCCGTTCGTGGTGACTGACTCAAGAGCATCCGTAATCTTCATGAGTGGTGTGATCCCTTGCATGCCCGCTTTCTCTAGCGCCACACAACTTGTAATAAACATAGGGAGATGAGACTTGCGCCGTTAGAGAGGGGGAAGAAGCGCAAAGCTGGGGGCCAAACCCAAACCCATACCTTATTAGCGAGTTTCCACTCTGGGTATAGCTAAGTTTAAGTTCAGAGCCAATAGCGTCTCTGCAGTAAGAATAAAAGGCCCGGATGACTTCGAGAAACAAATTCCCAACCACTCGAGGCCCTGCAATTAAAAAGAAAATGGTCAGAGATGAATAATCCATATTTAAATCAATAAATGACATATGCGTGAAACAGAAAGAGTAACTATACACACAATTTTATTGTCTAAAATGCTCAGAAACTTTAGTTTGACAATGACAGCTTTACTGGGGGAATAACATCCATTAAAATGGCCAATTTTTTTTTTTTTTTTTTAGATTTTATTTGAGAAAGCGAGAATGAGAGAGAGAGAACACATGAGAAGGGGAAGGGTCAGAGGAAGAAGCAGACTCCCTGCTAAGCAGGGAGCCTGATGCGGGACTCGATCCCGGGGCTCCAGGATCATGACCTGAGCCGAAGGCAGTCACCTAACCAACTGAGCCACCCAGGCGCCCCTAAAATGGCCAATATTTTTGTAGCACTTACCACGTGCTGGACACTGTTCTAAACATTTTGTATCTGTTACCTTATTTACTCCTTAAGTAGCCATATGACCAGGTATTACGTTGTTGTACTGACTACAGATAAGGGGACAGGGACTGAGAGGCCAAGGAACTACTCCAAGCCAGACTCTGTCCGGGGGAGCCAAGAGGTATGCTCAGTGTGCATAAGTGTGTATAAACTGCTTGGCCAGAGACACTACTCAGCATAAATACCAATGGAGTAGGGCAATTTTCCTATTTTACATTCTTTTAAATTTTTTTTACATTTTTATTTTTTTTAAGTTTTTTTTATTTATTTTAGAGAGAGAGCGAGTGAGCGGGGGGGTGGGAGGGACACAGACAGAAACCCAAGCAGACTCTACACTGAGTGTGAGCCCAACGTGGAGCTCAATCTCATGACCCTGGGATTGCAACCTGAGCCAAAACCAAGAGTCAGACACTTAACCAACTGCCCCACCCCGGCGCCCCTATTTTTTATTTTATTTTTTTAAGTAATCTCTACACCCAGCATGGGGCTCGAACTCATGACTCTGAGATCAAGAGTCGCATGCTCCATTGACTGAGCCAGCCAGGTGCCCCTCTAAATTCTTTTAATCAAATGAGCTAGAACCCCACAAAAGAAATACCACCACTCCTGAAAGGCTTATTAAATGGCACAAAAGAACATAACCAGCTGCAGGTTAGGGAAACATTCCTGCCGATTAGGCAGGTGGAAGGCAGGTAGACATTTCCGCTCCACACACAGCAGCCATCAGGCATGGAAGGGAGTGACTTCTCACCCATGTGTACAAAGGGATGAAAACAGGATCGATTCAGAGGAAATGAAAGCTCTGTCAATATATCTGTGTTAAAAAGCAAAGATGGATCCAATCTTTTATGCTTCTTTTTCATAAAAACAGAGGATGTGCCTCTGAGAAAACTTTTTCCACGATAAGCCCCACGTATATCTTATCTGTAGTATAAGAATGCTGAATGCGGGGCGCCTGGGTGGCTCAGTTGGTTAAGCGACTGCCTTCGGCTCAGGTCATGATCCTGGAGTCCCGGGATCGAGTCCCGCATCGGGCTCCCTGCTCTGCAGGAAGTCTGCTTCTCCCTCTGACCCTCCCCCTCTCATGTGCTCTGTCTCATTCTCTCTCTCTCAAATAAACAAATAAAATCTTTAAAAAAAAAAAAAAAAAAAGAATGCTGAATGCTTTTTACAAATGAAGGCAAGTTTGTTGCCATGATTGAAGGAGAAAATGAGGCAGTGGTTGAAGCCTGGTAGCAAAAGAATGACTGCCCTGGGCCTTCTAGCTCTACTTCTGTATGATCCACTCCTCTGCCTCTCAAGTACGTCCTCCCTGGAGACAGATAGAAATTTTAGACTAAATTAACAGATAGAAAACTTAGACTGCTAGATCGGGCAGAAGCCTGCCACTCACCCCCTTCTGGAAATGATGGCGGGGGGCCCAAGCTGACAGCAACATTTCACTTGGGTCACCCAGGTGCAGGGTCGAGACATAAAACACCCATCCTCCAAAATGCGGTTACGTTTTTGCTCTGGATATTTCCCCAAGTTATGCAGGAAGCTCCCCATACACTTATATAGCTCACTTCATTTTTTAGCCAAAATCATGATTTTTCCAAGCTGCAGTCACTCCACACAAAGAGGAAAATCTACTGGAGCCATCGCTGGTTGAGGTAGCAGGGGAGGGGAAGGATGGGGGGAAGGGCACAGGGCAGCTTCAGGTGGCACTTAAGGCCAGAGCTTGGAGGGACAAATGCTTCACGCTTTGACTTTGGTTAAGAGCAGTTAGAGCGTACATGTCATGGGATACAAGGTCATCTGTGTTACATGACCGAGCATCTCGGGTATGGTGGGTCTGCGTGCAATCGGGTAAGCAGCTGTGTCCTGTCAGAGAGCTTAGGCTCTAGAGTCAAACCGACCACATTTTAATCTCAGCTCCTGGGCAGAGGTTTGCCAGAGTAGCAAATCACTTACTCTTGCTCAATCTTAGTTTTTCCATCTGTAAGATGGGAACAGTGAGAAAACCCACTTCAGGGTTGTTGGAGGCAAGGAGGTATGTATGGAGATGTACATTAGATGACGTGTACAAATCACTTCACACAAAAAAATTGCTCAAAAAATGTCAGCTGTTATTATTAACAACAGTAAAAACACATGATGACCTCAGAGTGTCCCTTCCATACAACTTGACTGGATGCCTTTTTTTCCCTTTGCATCCCTAGGGCCTAGCATCGTCCCTGCTCCATGCCTGCCCCTGAGTGAATAAATGAAAGGTCTCCATCCCCCACCCCAAGACCAGAGGGAGAAGGGACCTCAATAATGCCGTCGATTCTTGTTCTCTGCAAACAGCTACCAGGCAGTGTGCAAATCCTGAGCGCTCAGATGACAACATCAAACTTGAAATCCCAGGGCACCTGGGTGGCTCAGTCGGTTAAGCATCTGCCTTCAGCTCAGGTCATGATCCCGGGGTCCTGGGATCAAGCCCCACGTTGTCGGGCTCCCTGCTCAGCGAGGAGTCTGCTTCTCCCTCTCCCTCTGCCCCTCCCCCCACCTGTGCTCTCCTGCTCTCTCAAATAAATAAAATCTTCAAAAACAAACAAACAACAATAATTAACAAAAAACCCCTTGAAATCCCATGGAGAAGATGGGGACCCCATTATGGTGTTCAAGTGATTAGATGTTAAGATCTTTTTTTTTAAGATTTTATTTATTTATTTGACAGAGAGAGAGAAAGCACAGGCAGGGGGGAGTGACAGGCAGAGGGAGAGGGAGAAGCAGGCTCCCTGTTGAGCAGGGAGTCCGATGCAGGGCTCGATCCCAGGACCCCAGGATCATGACCTGAGCTGAAGGCAGACACCTAACTGACTGAGCCACCCGGGTGCCTTGGATATTAAGATCTTACTGTGAATGGATATTGGAGCAATTTCTATTCTTTAAGCAAGGGAGAGAAGATCATTTTTTTTAGCTGACACTCACAGGACCACAGTGTGTTAACAGGGGACCCTTCAGGAACCGGAGTCTAGTTCAACCCCGTTCAGTTGGCAGAGGAACAGACTGAGGCCCACATGGCGGAAGTGGCTTGCCCCAGGTCACAAGGCAAAAAGATGGAGGAGGGTCTCCTACCCCACCCCCTTGAAAATAAAATCAAAGCTCATTTGAAGCCTGATACTTGACTGAAGAAACATTCTCACAAAGCCAGTACGGCATGTGCTCTGTAGGTGCATACACAGATGTGCACAGGAGGAGCTCAAAGGTATTTTTCTAACGGAAGTGTTCACATTATTGTGCAAAACTTTTAAGTGGTGCCTAGATATGATAACTGAACACATGACTGAAGTACTTCAAGATTTGGAAACTCCGATGATGGAATTACATTCAAAATAACATGTTGACTGTGTCTCACACAGGCCATCCACAGTGGGCCCATGATGGTGACCGCACTTTGCACATTACCTATTTCCGGCTTGTCGAGCAGACTGACGAGGACGCGGAATGGCTTCAGGTACGCGTGGTGGCGTTCCTCTACGTTGGCATCTGAGAACTTCTGGTGCAGTATTTCAGCTAGACCCTGTTTTTTATTTTTTTAAAGCCACAGATCAGGATACTGTACATAGCACAGTTTGACATTATTAGTTGTTCTACTTGTAAATACGCTGGGACAGAGAGAAAACCAGTCACACAGCACGGAATGAGCACACAGAAGGTTTCCCCACTGTGGATCCAGGGCATGCCCCATGTCTGCTTTGAGGCCCTGCCCATCAATCCACTGAGGAATCATGATCAGGAATGTTCTGATTGGGATCTACTTTCCAGAAAGGCTCCTTTACCTCAACTAAAAGATCCTTGGAATATTTTTCAAAAAAATACGAGGCCTGGTCTTCGTAAGAATTTGAGAGTTCAGATTCTGGCACAATGGTATTTCCTTTAATATCTGAACCTATAAAAGAACAAGGACCATGAGCTGTTAACAAGATCTACAGTTTTAAAAAAGGTACATAATATTGCGCAAAGGTCTCATGCTCCAGCATTTTTAAAAATAGAATTCCTCCAACAGAAAACCAAATTCCAATCTGGCAAGACTAAGTCACATTTTCTGCTGACAAAAATGTGGTGTACTAAGGATTCCACCTCAACAGGCATCAATTTAGTTTGTCCTGAGAATTCACCCTCAGTGTTTTGACAAGTCTGATTACAAGGATCTAATGGAACGAGGATCAGTTTTAAAAACCAGTGTTTGTACGGCAGTATATAAAATCAAGCTGTTCTCACCTATATGCCCTTATCTTGAGCCCTGGCTAAGTCTGTGAGGTCTTCGGGACAAGGGGAGGCAACTCATGGTACAAGGAGAGAGCGTGGACTCTGGGGCCGAGACTAATAGGTCGGACCCAGCACTGAACTTGGATCCTGGGTCCTCTCTATACACAGCAAGTCAAGGCCAACTAGGATGGAGCTGAGCATTTAGCAAAATCATCCTTTTGATAAAAATGCTTAAAGAGCCTGTAAATATTCTTCTTGAAATTCTTCATAAGCTTCCATGCAATGGATTCTGGAAGTTCTGTAACCAGGGAGAAGAGAGGAAAGAAAGGGTTCAGAGAACTTTCTGACTTTGGTGTGAGAAGATCTCTATGTTGAGGGTTATAAAAGTGGTGAAGCAGAGGATTTTTTAGGGCAGTGAGACTACTCTACATGGATGTGTCATGGTGGACGCATGTCCTTACACATCTGTCTACACCCACAGAGAGCACACCAGCAGGAGCGAGCCCTGATGGAAACCACGGAGTCTGGGCGATGACGTGCCAGCGCCGGTTCACTGACTGTGACGAATGTGCCACCCGGGTGGGGGGAGGGGCACCTGGGGGAAGATGGGAACTCTCTGCACCTTCCTCTTAGTTTTGATGTGAACCTAAAACTGCTCTAAAAAAAAAAGAGTCTTAAAAAAAAAAAGCTATGGAAACCTTTCATGTCGCTTGGTATACCGCTTCTGCTCAGGTACACGAACATGGGAATTTATAAAATTCAGAAAGTGCTAGCCTCCTAGCCCTGTGGTTTCCTGGACTCTTGTCCCCATGAAGCCTTCCAACCAACCGTCAGGGGCTCTCTTCCTACAAGTTTACAGGCTGTCCGCAGAAACACAAGCCTGGGTTCTCAAGCTCTTCCCTTAAGTTATCCAAATGTCTTACAAAACTTTATGTCAATGCCACAAACATTCTCATCCATACCAAACCATCTTTTACACAAACTCCGTAACATTTGTGGGTCTTCTCTCAAACCCCCAAACCGATGAGACTTCTTTATAGCAACAAGCTTCTACTTGAATAAGGTTTAGCTACAATTTTTTTTGTAGTACTTCAAGCTTCTTAAAATGGAGTTCAATACTCAATATTCAATAAATATCCCACTTATTTATGTCCCTGTTTTTAACTGTAATACCTGCAACATAACCAAAGCTACAGTGTAGGCAGAACTCCACTGACTGGGCCATATTCAGTCAGCATGTTATCTTTCCATATCTTATAATTCAGAAACTTATCACAAAGATTGAAACTTGTTCCACAAATCAGCATTAAAGGTTTCACGTTAACTTTGACTTTCACTTATTGGATACTGCTCAGTACCTAGTAACCACGCATAAAGTCTTCTGTTCAGAGACATGTCTCTCCTCAGTAGGGTCTGGGTGGCTGCTGACAGGATCTGCACGATGTCAGATCTGAGCAGGGGAATGGCTCTCTCACTGGAATCCTGTTGGAGGACAGAGAACACTTTACTGTAAAGGGATGATGAAGTAGATTACTGGCTTTCTGACCCGTGGCCCCTCCTACCAGTCTACAAAGCTCTCTCTTAAAAAGGTCATTCTCAAAAGGAGTTGGTTCTCCACAATGCCCACAGACAGAAGCCATTCAGTTTTTGCTATGGAAACATCATCCTCACAAAAAGGAACAAGGATCTTTTTTTTTTTTTTTAAAGA